TAAATGAAAATAAATTCATGATATTTGAATTAGTTCGATCAACGTATTTTATCTATGGACCCAAGTGTCATCGGCCATATACTCAACAGGCCGGCCATCTACCAAAAACCATGGCAGTCTAGGGCGTTTATCTCTGCCATCATTGGAGAATCTCTTCTCTCTTCCGAAGGCGGAAAGCACAAGGCGCAGAGGCGTATCGCGGACCAAGCCTTCTCAGAACGAAATCTCCAATCCTTCCTGCCCATAATATTCTCAAAGGCGTCGGAGATCACGCAAAGGTGGATTACCATCGCGGAAAAATCGAATGATGAGACTGCAGTCGTTGATGTCGCTAATTGGGTTCACCGACTGACCTTGGTACGTGTTCCAACTATCCTTATTTCAAGGCCACCCTCTGACCATTCTTCGTATTAGGATGTAATAGGAAAGGTTGGATTTGGATGCGATCTTGAGGCTTTACGTGATGAAAATAACCAAGTAAGTGGCCGTCGTCTAACAGAATTCAGGCTTACATACGATTGTAGCTCTATGTAACTTATAAAGAAATGTTCAATGTGGTGCGTATGAGAATCCTATTTATGGCTGGGTTGACTGACGCCTTTCATAGTTGCCCAAGAGGGCAAATCCTTTCTTGACCTTTTTGGGCATATGTATCCCAAAACTCCAACCTTGGATCGTATGTACGCTTTAGTGTTTGGTAACTCCCCGCTTATCAGTCTTTTCGTCGCTAGCCCACGGAAATGTTTTCTACCTTGACGCGATGCAAGAACATTGTGAATGATTTTGGCAACAAAATGCTAGAATCCAAAAGACGGAAACTAAGGGAGAACCACAAGTGCAAAGATCGTGACTTTTTGACCTTATTCCGTCAGTGAAACTCCTAACGTTCGAGCCTTCTATTAACCCTTTGTTCCAATCTAGTTAAAGCCAATAGTCAGCCTGATCTACCTGCAGATCAACGGATCAGTGATAGGGAGATATTGGATATAGTCAATACGCTTCTTAGTGCTGGGTAGGTAACCCTTTTACAATCACG